ACACACACACACACACACACACACACACACACACTCTTCCAGGTCTACAGCTCAAAGACGAGTCAGATCCTATTGTTCAGTAAACAGGACCTCTGCATCCAGGTCGATCACAGTCAGTTCAGTACACCGGGCCGAGGGGCGAGTCCAATATACTATATATATATATATATATATATATATATATATANCTGCTGTGACATCATCATTTTCTTACTGTGGTCGTTAAGATTTAAATGGTGCCAACACAAATCACTGAGGAGCTGCACCGGGCAACACGACACCACGTCCTAGATGAGGAGGAGGAGAGAGGAGGAGAGGAGAGGAGAGGAGAGGAGAGGAAAGGAGGAGAGGAGAGGAGAGGAGAGGAGGAGGTGTAAGACGATGGTGAAAATGTTTGATTTGTGCTTTGTGGGTAAAAATGTTTTAGATTTAAAACCAGAAACTTAGATTTTTATAATTTTATAATTAAGTTTTCATGTTTCCTCCTCTCCACAACGAACAGAGCAGCTGATTCTAACTGTTAAAAACACTGAACAGTTTCACCTTTAACCCCCTGAACACCAAACCCTGTGGGCGGCTGGAAAAACAGGATGAAGGATGAAGAGTAGCATTTCATCAGTTTGACTTCCTGCTCACTTATTACAGTCAATGGAGAAAAACAGGAGGCAGTTTATTCTCCCAGATAATGAAAAATAATCTTCCCTGTTGTTCAGCAGCAGCAGAGCGATGCAGAGTGATACAGGGAGGGGTGGAGTCTCAGTGGGAGTAGCTCCATCTCTCTCCCTGTAATCAGGTGAGGAGAGAGCAGCAGCCTCCATCACTCCTCTCCTCCTTCACATCCCCTCAGGACTTCATCAGCTCAGTGAGAGTCAGACCCGAGGCTGCCTGACGAGGATTTTACCGCCACACAAAACGAAGAAACGACAGGATATGAGATGGAGCTGACATGTGATTGAAAGCAATGAATCAGTTTCTCTCATTCACTCACATTAGATGTAAATATATATTTTATATCATGTCGCATCAACCAGTCATTTTCTATGAAGGAGAGAAAATGACAAGAATAAATAAATGTCACTGCTGCTGCTGAGTCTCACTAAATAGTAGAGTCTGTCACACACAGCACATGGAGGATATTAAAGCTCCTCCAGTGTAAAGGTCTCTGTCCATGTGTAGTGTGATTATAGATCAGGTCTAGGTTCTATATTAATACTGTGAAAGTATCAAAGCCTCAGTCCACAGAGAAATGCACACAGCCTGTATTCAGAAACTGAGCCTTAAAACCAGCCGTCAGGACTTCTGGAACTTTGTGATGTCACAACAAAGCAGTCACCAAGCCCCGCCCACCTGGACCCACCATCCAAACCTTGCAGGATTTGGTTTCTCTGAGTGTTTTTACCTGAAATCTGCTTTATTTTTATTGGATCACTCAGAAAACAGTCAGCCAATCAGAAGAGAGGCTCAGAGCCTCCTCTCTTCTGATTGGCTCACAGACCTGTTGTTACTAGAGCTGCAGAGAGAAGCCTGAGAGAGGAGATGGTTTTTATATCTTCTGATGGATCAACACTTCAAATAAAACACAGAAGAAGAAGAAACATGGAGCTTTAAAGCCTTTAAAAAACATGGCTCATCCTCATGTCCAAGTCACAGTGTCAGACTTCCTATATCCAGTAATTTCATATTTTAGTTTAACTTTATTCAGCATCAGTGTCATGTGATCAGAACCACAGTTAATTACATGTACAGGTTTATCACCTGCTGTTAATTGTATTTGGAGCAGCAGGGAAATCAGTGACTGACTTTCAGAGGTTCACGGAGCGTCTCAGATTAATTGTAAATAAATGTCTTCATTATGAAAGTGTGACTGCAAACACTCTGTGTGTGTTCAGCAAGAAATCAAATGTATTGTGAAGGATCATGATTCTACAGCTGCAGCAGACTGGAATATAAACCAATACAACATAAACCAATACAATATATACAATAGAAATCAATACAATATATACAATATAAACCAATACAATATATACAATAGAAATCAATCAAATATCAATCAATATATACAACAGTATTGTTAAAATGAAATGAAAATATTGACAATATTTCACTGTGTCTCAGTTCAGCTTGGTCCTTCAAACGCTGCATTCAAAGACGAGGTCATCCCGTCTCTAAGGCTCTTTCTAATGAGTCCAGGAAATGCCAAACATATCCCAGAATTGAAAGATGAATGACTTTTGACTCTGCACATAAAACAGTTGGGTTCTCCTTCACGGTCTATGTGGTCTTCGGAGGTCTCGCCTTCGTAGACTGCGTCCTCCGCAGGATGTGACCCTGAACTGGGACTCAGTCAGTTCATCTGGATCTGAGGTTCTGGTTCTGGTTGTCGTTCTCAGGTCAGTGAGCTGGAGGCTATGATGAAGCACATGCAGAAAGTTCTGGAAGAGGAGCTGAGTGGTGAGTCTGACTCTACAACACTTACACACACACACACACACACACACACACACACACACACACACACACACACACACACACAGCAGGTTGGCAGTGTGTTCAATGTGTTTACACTCGGTCAATAAATGAAACAAAGAATCAGATCTATTCACAGCCTTTTAACTCTGAGGCAACCACAGCACAGGCATGATGTAATATCGATCTCACACGCACGCACGCACGCACGCACGCACGCACACACAGTAACAGCAGGATGTGAAGGACTGACACCTGATACAACAGACAAGGGTTTTGTTCTTTTTCCTCTATAATCTGGTTTCATTTCTTCACTTAAAGGAAACTTTACATTTTACAACCAGTTAGACTGAGGACAAGAACCGAGGAGACAGAGACAGAGACAGACGTACTTACATCAGGCCTGTAGCAGCTTTAGCTTTAGTGAGGAAAACAATTCAGGCCAGAAAACTGAACCAGTTCTGCCGCAGTGATATGAGGATCCTCAGAACAGTCAGCACAGTTAACATCTTTTCAGAGTGGTTTACATAGTTAGTATCTTATCAGAATGGTTAGCATAGTTAGCATCTTTTCATATTGGTTAGTGTAGTTAACATCTTTTCAGAACAGTTAGCTTAGTTAGCATCTTTTGAGAATAGTTAGCATAGCTTGCAACTTTTCATAATAGTTACTGTGGTCAGCAACTGTTCAGAATGGTGAGCGTAGTTAGCATCTTTTCAGAACGGTTGGCATAGTTATCATCTCATCTCATATCAACACAGTTAACATATTCTATTTGTTTATGTTATTTGTTAGCTTGTAACTGGCAGTGGCTGACACAGTGTTAGCGGTTGTGCTAATGCTAACTCTCTCTCTCCGTACTGACAAAGTTTCAGGTGTATTTAGCCCCGCCCTCCGTCCCCACAAGTTGACAGGATTGGTTCCTTAGGTTTGTGACGTATGAAACCCTGAATCTGTTTCTATGAGACTGTCATTGGTTCACTGCAGCTGAAGGTGGAAACACTCAGTCTTGGTGTTGATGATCATTTCATCATCATATGTCTGTATTATATAAAAACATCACATGGATGTTAGCATGTTGATTTTCATCAGAGGATCTTTGTGTTGCTATGTTTGTTGATCACCACGTCAGCCACGATTAAAATAACTGAATAAATATAATTATTATATGAAATGAATTTGGTGTGAATGTGTTTGAATTCAGGTGTAATTAGAGTCTAAGTCAGTTGAGTTCAACAGCAGGAATATGAAGTACAGACTCCATCAGCTGGACATAAAACACCCACAATGCTTTGGTGTTAATAACTCTGTCCTTCCTGTGGAGACAAATGTTAATGACTGTTTATCCCTGCAGTCTTCTCTCCGTCTCTTCTTCTCTTCTTCACTTTTATTCGTTCCTCTTTCTCCTGTCACGACCCCCCCCCCCCCCCCCCCCCCCCCCCCCCCCCGTCTGCTCAGCTCCCGTTGGCCTGGTTCAGTCACAGTGAAACCTGTTCGTCTCACTCCACTGACCTCAGAAAAAATCAAAGTGCGAACATGAGACTTTGCTGCTGTCAGAGGAAACAGTGACTTCACCTCCTGCCTCGTCTTTACACCTACAAAACCTAGAAACCTTCACTACACTATAAAAACATCAGAAACAGCTTCACCAGCAGTCGATGAGGAGCTGTCTGAATTCCGCTGGCTCTGTCTTTCATATTTAATCATTCACAGTCAGATAAGATGATTTATATTAGGTTTAGCTGCCGGTCTTGAATCTGTTGTGTTTCTATGAGCAGAAATATCAGGAATAATAAGAAATGACAACAGAGAAAATAAATAATACGTCGCCATCTTGGCAGTGCCTGACTCTGCCTACCTCCCAAAAATGGTTAAAGAGGCGGGATGTGTGTGGAGCAGAGACTTCGGTGCATGCTACCTTAATAAGTAGGGTTGCCACCTTTTATGTGAAAAAATAAGGGAACGCTTGTTAGCATCGTTAGCACAGCTGGGTGTCTTGCTCAAAGGCTGACCCAAGGCTAACTCATTTGCTGGCTGATCAGCTAGTTAACTAGCTAAGCTAATAAGCCAGGTATAGTCAGCACAGATGCTGATATATGCTAATTATTGCTAATTGAGCCCAGTCTTAAGAACTATATTTCAGAGGAATAATTGTTGACAAATAATTAAGATAAATATGTTCTTAAAGATAAAATGTCACAATAAAATCAGTTAATTTGTGTTTAAAAAAAAACTTTCCATAAGGGATTAAAAAAACATCAGACTCATGAGTCTTTGTCATGGTGTTGATAAAGTTAATTGAAATTCAAACTGGTTTGTTCACAGTGAACAAAGAGCAGGTGGTCAGCTGACACTCTAACCTCGGAAGGTGTTGAGTTGTCTGTCTTGTGTTTTCTTAGTTGCATTGGAAGTTACGATCTGTTCAGCCCTATCAGAAAGGTGAAGGGGCGGGATGTAACGGTGAACCCGTAGATGGATGCCATGGGCTAACCGAGGCTAAGGGAGACAATAACGACGTTCAGGTGAGCTGGAGGTGTAAAGCTGCAGAGAGTAATTCAGTCCAATACTTTGGTAGATACAGAGTTTAGCAACGAGTGACGGACTTTGTGAAGTATGAATAAGGTAAATGCTTTTGTGTGTGTGTTTTGCTTTGACGTGATGATGTGCGTTAAGGAGGGAGATGCTAAGCGTAATTTGCGTAGTAGCATGCTAACGGGATTTGCATTGATTTTCAATGTGCTAGCCGCTAACGTGACTGTGTAGCTAGTATTTGCTAATGTTAGCAGCTAGTTTACGCTCTCACAGACTCGGTATGAGAAGTAAATGAGCTCGTGGATGAATTAAAGGAGACTAAGGGAACCGTTAATATGCACAGTGGACCAGGAAATACTGTTTGGACCCGCTGGATGATAGAAGTCTCCCATTCAGCTATCACCCCTGTAACCTGTACCCTCATTGCCTGGTCGCCATGACAACCATCGCCCTGCGCTTCACCTTTCGCTCGTGCTACAGAACAACTGACGGATTTGTGAGTAAAAACTAACCAGTTCACGTGCTTTTATTTCCTGTGCTCGCAGCAGTAAGTGAACCGTCCATTTGTTTTGGTCATAACGCTGCCTAGCAACGACTCAGGCCTCCAACGGTCTTTTGGGTTATAAAGGACACTTTTATTTTTGGTTGCAAACTTCAGTGTGTGCGAGTGTGTGTGCCCGTGTGAAGTTGAACTTAAAGGGTAACTATTGATAAGATTGACTTGACCTGAAAACTTTTGGAAAGTGTTTATATTGTAGGGGGAAGCACTTTTAAGTGTTTTGGGTGTTATTTTATGTGTTTAAAACAATTTTATCTAACATTTAATTAAAATTTATAAATAAGTTTAAAAGGGTAAAAAAAACAATTAATTTTCTTCCCTGTTACACAGGTTAGCATGGTCAGCTGTAAATAAAAGTACCCATATAGTTATACACTAACACACTAACATATAAATAAAAATAATATATAATTTCACTCACCTGTAGAAAAAGCAGCTCAGACTTCCTCATTAATAGTTAATGAACCAACAACAAGTCACATGATGTGTCTGATATTTACATGAAGAACCACAAACAGTCACTGACTGAAGTAGCTAACAGACTAACCAACAGTGACCCCACCCACCCAAAAAAAAGCATCAAGTGAAAGGAAATAATAGAAAGGACCAGGACCCGTCCCCCCACCAGCTTCAGAGGAAATGGTTTTCTGTGTAATCCTGCTGACAAACAAACAAACAGGTGAAAACATAATCTCCTTGGCAGAGGTCATAAATCCTGAATTATCAAGACAACAGTTAAACATGGAGGATGCGTCTCTCAGAATAAAGACCTGACTCTGTCTGCAGGCGAGAGACTAATTATTCTGCCTGACTTGTTGCAGCTCTGTGACGAGGAAACATGCAGCTGAGTTATTCTACTTTAATGAAAATCATGTGTCATTTAGATGCAAATCAAACCAGCCTGTCTGAAATCTGCTGCTATCTGAATAAAACACATTTAAATTCATAGAAATTGTTCTGCATCAGTTTTGTAAAATGTTACATTAGATATGAGACTGATAATAAAGGAGGTGTTTTCTGTCTGAATATGAATGAGAACAGGTGTGTGTCTATGTATTTATTCATGAATGCACCCATGTTGTATGTATGTTCATATTTTTGCATGTATGTTCGCACATGCTGCTGGTTGCCATGGTTACAACCAAATCTTAACGGTGAAGCATCAGCTGTCAGTCGGTCTGTCGTCGAGTTGACTCGGTTTTATTCATGTGACAAATAACAAACTGGTAATTTAAAAGATGATTGTTATGAAATCAGTTCATTAATATAAAAGTCTGTCAGTTAAATTATCCCAAAATGAGCCTGAAAACAAAATATTTTCTACCTGTTTGTGAGGAGACTAATGGAGCTGAAGATCAGAGTCTTAAAAACACTCAGGTACTTGAACAGCTGTAAAAACTGCCTCAAATTAAACGGCTAATTAAACTAAATTAATCAAAATATTAACATCAACTAATGAAATTATCTTTTGATAGTTAAAAACAGAAAATCAAGAGCCTCACATTAAAATGACGAGTATGAAACTTGTCGCGTTGTGGTTTAATTTGAAGGTAATATAGAATATAAAATGCACATTTATTGATCCCGTACTTTATAAACTAAAGGAACTTGAACTTTACACGTCTGTTTCAGTCAGAGTCAAATATTGTTCTTGAGCTGATGAAATATGAATTTGAATCTTTTACTTTTTCTCTTTATATTTGAAGTTAGGGTTAGAAAGACAGAGTCCTTCTGTTCCTGGACAACGAAGGCTCCAACAGCTGGATCCTTCGTGGTCCAACATATCCCAGGATTCACTGCGTGTCGGTATTGAAAGAGTCTGAGTATTACACTGTTAAATGTCAGTATTGTGTTTCAGCTCAGTTCAACAGCTAACGGTACAACTGTTAAAACCAAGAGACTTAAGACAACAAGTTTTAGTGAGAAAAAGTTACATGTTGTCAAGGTTGCTAGGCGACAGGAGCCGCGCTTTGTAATGCAATGGACCAAAGATTCTCTATACAGAAGATAACGCATTACAGGCAGCACCAATGGTTCACATGCAGCACGTTTCATTTGCAGCACGTTCCCGTTGTATTTATTTTGTATTTTCTTTTTGAATCTGAATCGTTTATGAATTTGTAGCTTGTTTGTTATTGGAAGTGTTTAGGGCCGTTGCAGCGTGTTTGCCCTTGTCAGCCACCGTACATCTCGATGTACTGTCTACGATGGCTGTGAAGGGTTAGGGTTAGTTCGTAGACCACGTCCGTCTGAAGGAGGAGACCCTTGAACTGGGACACCGCTGATCAGTAATTGGCTGTGCCTCCCTCATGTCCTGCAGAGACCAGCACATGTTCATACGTGAGGAAGTCGATCAGTTAAACAAGCGAGTAACGTACAACACACAGACCCTCCTCTGTGTTTTACTGACAGCTGCTGCTCCAGGTTACGACATGCAGAGTCCTGATGATCAGCTGTTGAGGATTCATTGCTCCCTGGAGGAGCCTCAGTAACAGACCACAGCTCAGCAGCCATAAACAGACATTAAATCCTCTGATATTTAGCTCGGAGTAAATGGACAAAAGACCTGGAGCAGCTCCTAGGTCGTTACACTGATTTACTGTCCAGTCATTGGCTGTTTGTGCTGCGCCGCTGTGTCTGACTGAAGACTGAAGATAAAGAGCAGCAGGTTTGTTTTAATTCAGCTGATCAGGTTGAAACTGTGAGAGGATCCAAGTCAGACTGAAGGTAAAGGAAGTGGCAGAATATCTGAGGCACTACAACAATGATATGAACTAGAAATCAGGAAAATGTTTGTGAGGCTGCTGTTAAAAAATATTTGAAATAGTTTAAATATAGTTGCACTGTAACGAATGAAAGCAGTTGAAGTGTGTCAGAGAATCTGGTTTACTGATCCCTAAAGCTCTGTGAGGTCATCAGCTCGTTAACATTTAGAGCTCGTTAACATTCAGAGCTTGTTACAGCTCAGACTTTTTTATAATTAAGAGTGTCATTAGGATTCAAAGACGTTCAGACTCAACGAACCTGTTGAGACTTAAAATGTAACTGAAGCGTCTCGTGTGAAGTTCAGCTCCGCTTTAATTTTCATGATGTTCTCAGATCACAGAGCTCATTTTTAGTTTTATTTTATAACAGTTTGGAAAAGCCAGAGTGTGTGTGTGTGTGTGTGTGTGTGTGTGTGTGTGTGTGTGTGTGTGTGTGTGTGTGTGTGAGAGAGAGGCAGAGATGGACAAATGATGTGTGTTTAAATCCTGCCATTATAATCCCATTAGATCACCTCCACAGACTGTTATTAATGGAGTCAGGGCTACTCATACAGAGAGGAGGAGGGAGGAGAACACACCACCACCTGAGTTTAGCTGAAACTAAATCTAATGCTGGGGATGATGATATTTAATATTCTGTCTCCAGTGTTTCTCACCGTTCTTTGTTCTGTGGTTTTTCTCTTTGAACCAGGAGATCCAGTGGAGCCTGAGGCCCCCCAGACCCCCCAGGGGCCCCGGAGCCCCCAGACCCCCCAGGGGCCCCAGATGATCAACAGCAGCCTGCTGGAGACCAGAATCCAACACCTGAGAGAGTGAGTGTGAGTTTGCAGAGCTGGTCCTCTGCAGTGGGTCTTAGGATGAGTCCAGGACTGTGGACAGATCGTTTAAACCAGGACTCTTCATATCCCACAACAACAGCCTGGAAACACAGAGAGGTTTTATATCCACAGATGAGTGGCTTTGAAGCTCAGAGTGAGCTGCTCTGTCGTCACCATCTTGACAGTACCTGACTCCGCCCCTAACTCGTAGCTAATGCAAAAATGGTCAGAGAGGAGGGGCGTGTGTCGAGCTGAGACTTCGGTGCATGTGCCTGTCACTCAAAGAGGCCACGCCCTCAATCCTCCGCCTTAATAAAATGTAAACAGGTGAGTTATATAAACAGGTGTCATGAAGGAGGAAATTAACTCTAGAGACCAAAACAGTTTTTGTACCAGGCTGTAAACATGTTTATTTCTGCTGTAAAGTTGGACATTTTAACATGGGAGTCTATGGAGACTGACTCACTGTTGGAGCCAGACTCTAGTGGTCATTAGAGGAACTGCAGGTTGTTGGCTTCATGTTTCAGCCTCTGAGACTCAAACCCACTGTGGCTCATATGAAAGGAGTCACTTGTACGTTTAGCTATTAGTTTAGCTATAGCTAACGTTAGCATTAGCAGGTGTTTACTCACCAGTCTAGAGGTACTTCATCCCTTCACTCACCAACATCTGTCACCAAGGTTGCCTCTCATCTACGTCATGTCTCTTCTACTGAAGACCGTTAGCATGCTAACCAGTAGCGACGTCAGCGCTCACTTGTCCAGAGTTCATTCATGTATCTCACAGTCATGTCCAATCACACCCGTAGGACGTCTGTCCGTCTGTCTCAGTGAACAGAGGAACGTCAGTGTTACTCTCAGGATCCGACCTCGTTGTGAAGCTACAGGCGACGACTGAGCGACGGTTCCTGGTGTATAAACTGTAAATTCAGATGGATAGACACAGTCACTGACAGACAACAACAACGTGAACAGATTATATTTGTGTCTGTTAACAGCACCTGAGGAATTAACACGATGCATCAAACTCACTCTGCTGCTGTCAGAGGTCTGATTTATTCTTAGTAACTGAACCAAGTTTCCCTCCAGATGTTTCTGCTCAGTCTTTGACGTAGTTGAGTTTATTGTGAATCTGCTGTTTACACCTGCGGAAACACCTGCATGTTGCTCTGAGGACACGTCTCCACACGTTTTAATGAAATATATATTATAATCAGATGGAAGCTGCATTGTTGTCATGATATTTATAGTGTTCCTGTTTACTGATATTTACACAGAGTTTTGATTTGTTTTTTTATACTAGTAATGTATTATTAGTCTTTAAGATTTGCATTCATATCTCTAATTATTGTTGTTGCTGTTGTTTCTGAGATATATCTATATACATATATATTTTCCCATATTAGAAGAACTAATGACGTCTGCACTGTTTCACCTGTCCCCGTGATTCTCCTCCTCGCAAACTTTCTTTTTAAAATCATCTGTGATTTGAGACATTTCTGCAAAAAACCCCAAAACATACATGATGGGATGTAACGTTAATTTAGGGAAACTTTTCAAGAGGCTGGGTGTGCTTGGGTATAAAACGTAATATTCATCTCCTGTTTAAAGAGACGCAAAATCAGGTCGCCGCCTCCTTCTGCAGGTAGAAAATCCAGTGCCTTCGTATTCTTCTTCTTTGGTTATTTCGGATGGCTCTGCCTGATGCATGGATTATGATTCAGCTGCAATTGCAGTTACAAACGACAAATCCACCGAGTAACGAGAAAACAAGTACTAGAATTTTGTCAGGAGGCGGCACGAAGTTTGGAAGAGGCGGTCACATCCCAATTCTCTGCAGGAAAAACCCTGGTGTATGTATTTATATGTGTGTGTGTGTGTGTGTGTGTGTGTGTGTATATATATATATATATATATATATATATTCTGTGTAAAGTAATCAAAGTTACATTATCAACTATCAGCTAAAAATCTAAAGAATTATTTAAATGACCATTAGATGCAAATTTGTAAAACAACAAATCCACATTGTGTAGGTTTCTATGGTAACAAACAAAAACAGTGTAAATACAGTAGAGGAATATTGATATATGAAGGTGTTTTGATTTCTCTGTGGCAGGAATTTAAACTTCTGGATACTGTAAAAATCAAATGAAGCTTGAATCTTTAGAAGAGACATGAAAAATAAACAAATAAATAATCGAACCCACATGAAATCAAAGCCTGTCAAATTTAACGAGTTGTAGATCTTAAAAAAACTATAAATCGTAAAATATCAAACAAATGACGACTTTCCCTCATAACTCCACCAATAACAATGATGAATTATAAATGTTGACGCAGGAGAGATGGAAAACAAACAGACGAACATCTGGATGAAATCATCACAAACAAACAGCTGCTCAGAAAAGTCAGACACGTTGTGATGTTGATCGTTAACAGGTTAATTAAAAGATGCAGCAGAAGAAGAGACAGAGGTTCATTTCTCTCTGATTAACATAATGACCCAGTGATCTCGTTATCAGATGAGTCATGAGATCACTGTAGTTCATGAGAACAGGCTCCACACAGTCTGTAACGTTCCTACAGGAACCTGTTCTGACGCTCTTCCCCTTCCTCTTCCTCTTCCTCCTCCTCAGTTTGTTCTGCAGGAGGAGATTTCATCAGAGTGGAAACGTTTGTGAGGAGAAATGAAAAACACGGAGAAATCAATAAATCATCAGTTCTGAGAATGATGACGGCCTGAAGTCGTGTTTTCTCACACAGAGTCAAACGTTGTGAAACACGATAAAATGTGTGAACCTGAACACAACACTGAGCAGGTGAACTGCTGCTCACAGATAAAGGTTAGCTAATCAATGACGATGATGATGAAACGAGTGGAACCAGATGTTGGTTTTACTTTCATGGATTTTCTAGATCAGATGGAAACGTGAAGTCAGAGACGACAGGAGAGAAAACAGCTGACTGCTGACAGCAGCTGAAACACAGAGGCAAACACCTGTGACGGAGCGAGAGACACAGGAAGGAAGTCGGACGTCCTCAGCTCCACCTTGTCAGTCATAAAACCTCGTGGGGGAGGGGGAGGGGACATGGAGTCAAACAGCAGAAACATCCTCAGAGATCAAAGTGGCTGAAGATCTGTCATGTTCAGCAGAGGGAGGAGCCTCTTGTGTAAAAACAACCACACAGACATCCTGCTTCCTGCTGCCAGTCATGTGACCTGCTGCTTCAGTACAGGTCACATGACTAAACCAGACTACCTGCTGCTCCACTGGAGTTCATCTAAAATGTCTGTCTCTCTGTCTGTCTGTCTGTCTGGGTTTCTCTCTCTCTCTCTCTCTCTCTGTCTCTGTCTGTCTCTCTCTCTCTCTCTGTGTGTGTCTCTCTGTGTCTCTGTCTGTCTGTCTCTCTCTCTCTCTTTCTGCCTGTGTGTGTCTCTGTCTGTCTCTCTCTCTGTCTGTCTGTCTCTCTGTCTCTCTGTCTGCCTGTGTGTGTGGCACAGATGTTGAACAACATTACAGGAACAAGACTCGTCCATGTCTTACATCTGATTTCTAGTTTCTATTTCTCAGTGAAATAATCAGTGTTGGTTTAAAGTGAGACTGGTGATGAAGCAGATTCATGTTTCATGTTCATGTGTGAGAGCTGGAGCTGTGAGATGATCAGAGCAGTGAAAGGTTTTAATTGTCTGAACGTCACCTGAGGAAGATCAGTGACTTTTAAACCACTCACCTGCGTCTGTCCTCCCTGCAGGTCTGCCTGTCGCCGCCTCGGCTCAGACGTCTTCCAGCAGCTGTATGAGAACCTGAAGGAGGCCAGGCGGCGGCGGGAGGTTGAGGATGAGGACAGCGTCACCGAGGACGCTCCAGAGGATGAACCTGATGTGGGCTTCCAGGTGGACCAGCTGCTGTTCCTCGAGGGAGAGCTGCAGAGAGTGAGACGGCTGCAGGAGTACACACCCCCAGTCTGAAAAACTTTATTTAAACAACTCATCATCACAAAGAACATTTCTTACTTTACAGGTAAACTGATCAGAGCTTTCTGTATGTGCTAGAAGAATTACATTAAACATTTACAAGGGAAGTGAATGAATTTTTCCCCTGAAGTCGAAGCTGAAATAAAGAGATTTGGAGTGACGGTGTTTCCTGCTGCTGATGAAAGACTCCACCTGTCTGATCCGAGTCCTGACAATACGAGGAAGCTTACTGCTGAGATCAGACACACTCACAGAACCAGGGTGTGTGTGTGTGTGTGTGTGTGTGTGTGTGTGTGTGTGTGAGCGTGAGCGTGTGCGTGTGCGTGTGCGTGTGTGTGTGAGCGTGAGCGTGTGTGTGTGAGCGCGTGCCCGCGCTGCCTCTTGGTATCAGGATCTTTGTCTCCTGACGTTCACATGAACATCATCAGGGACTCCAAGCAGCTGGATCTGTTGCAGCTGGAGTCAGAACATCTGGATGTGATCTCAGTCCACAGCTGTCACTTTAACGTGTTCAGGTGTTTGAGATGAGAGACGATATATTGAAACGCGATGTTATTTTGATAAACGGGACTTCACTGCCTCTGAATGCATCACAGCTGACTCAGGTGTCAGTCATGCAGATGTAAATCAAAGCAGCTGTTTACAGTAACATTTCACTCTGTGTGAAGCTGTAAATATAATTTGATGCTTCAGTTTTCTTCAGTTTTACCTGCAGATGAAAAACACCATGTCGTCTCTGACCTCTCCCTCCTCTTTATAACTCGTTATTTCCTTATTTAGATGTGACACTAAACACTAATAAAACATCTGTAAACTCAGTGTTTCCGTCACTGTTAGCATCTTTTCAGATGAACAGATATTGTAGTTAGCATCAGAACAATTAGCTAGTTAGATTGTTTTCGTAAGGGTTAGCTAATCAATATCTTTTCACAATGGTTCGCTAGTTAGCATCTTTTCAGAACTGTTAGCTAGTTAGCATCTTTTCAGAACGTATAGCCAGTTAGCATCAGAGCAGTTAGTGAAGTTAGCATTTTTTCAGAACTTAAGCCAGTTAGCATCTCTTCATAACGGTTAACTAGTCAGCATCTTTTCTGAACTGTTTGCTAGTTAGCATCTTTTCAGAACGGTTAGCTAGTTAGCATTTTAGCAGGACAGTAAGTTAGTAAGCATCATTTCAGAAATGTTAGCTAGTTAGCATCTTTTCAGAACTTGTAGCACAGTTAGCATCTTTTCCGAACAGTCTGTGTAGTTAGCATTGTTTCAGAACAGTTAGCATAGTTAGCGTTTTTTATTTGTTGATGTTGTTTGTTTGCTTGTAACTGGCAGTGGCTGACACAGTGTTAGCAGTTGTGCTAATGCTAACTCTCTCTCTCTCTACTGACAAGGTTTCAGGTGTATTTAGCCCCGCCCCCACAAGCTTACAGGATTGGTTCCTGAGTTTTGTGACATATGAAACCCTGAATCTGTGTTTATGAGACTGTCATCGGTTCACTGCAGTTCAAGGTGGAAACACTCAGTCATGGAGTTGATGATTATTCCATCATCATGTGTCTGTATTTTATAAAAACATCACATGGATGCTAACATGTTGATTTTCATCAGAGGATCTTTAACTTGTTAAATTAGCCTTGTTTGGCTCGACAGCATCTTTCTGCTCAGGCTGAAGTTCAGCTGCTCTCATGATGTTAAAACACTTTGTTTTTTGTGTGTGACATCTTCACATGAGTCAATCCTCCAGATAAATCCTGACCCCGATTATTTCTTCTGCCCCAGAAGAGTTTGGTTTCACCTTTTACTTGGTGAGGTCAGAATTTAAACTACGTGAAAAGAGGATCCATCCCGTCAACGCTTCAGGCTGTTGCTGGTGTAATGGGGTGGGGGATATTTTCTCAGGACACTTTGGCCCCTCAGCACCAACTGAGCATCGTTTAAACGCCACAGCCTACCTGAGTGTTGTTGCTGACCATGTCCGTCCCTTTATGACCACAGCATACCCGACTTCTGATGGCGTCTTCCAGCAGGATGACAAGCACGTCACAAAGCTCACATCATCTCACTCCAATAGAGCAGCTTTGAGATGTGGTGGACGAGCAGCCAACAAATCTGCAGCAGCTGCCCGATGCTGTCACGTCAATCTGGACCAGAACCTCTGAGGAATGAGTCCAGAACCTGTTGAATCTGTGTCACGAAGGATTAAGACAGTTGTGAAAGAAAAGGGTCAAGCCGGTAGAAGGTGTCCCAGTGTATAAAACTATAGAACAGAATTACAGTAGAAAGTTTGTTTCAGAAACAGCTTCATCATCTGAACTTTAGAAGAACGTAGACTAACAGTGAGCGGGTTTTACATTTTTATTCATCTTGAACATTTAAAACAGTTGATACATTTAAACTTGATTTGGTTGGTTAAATGAACATATACATCATTCAGGAACAGCCCCTCAACATGTCTGTGCACGTCTCTGACTACATGCATGTTAAAGTTACATAATGAACTGATCTCACTTGTAGGAGAGGGGAACTCAAAATGGTGGGTGGTCTGTTCAGGCTGACATGAGAGAAAAACTATTTACTTCTGTATATTGATTCATCTCATTCTATGTGGCTCTCAACCATCTGTAGAAGTTACTGATGGTGTTAAAAAACCAACGGCACCGTTCGCAAATCATCCAAACTCTGATCATTAGATTCAATAACCAAGATCTTTTCTCATAAATCAATCGTCCTCCCTCAGAGACTGAATCTATTTTGTCAAACAGCTCTTTGACCTGATCCCTGTCCTCCATGTTTTTGTTGTTGAACACCTGGTACTGGCCGCTGCAGTTCTTCAGCAGCTCTTGCAGGTTCTTGTCTTCTCTGATGAACTGAACAATGTCCATGTCTTCCAGTCGGTCTCCGTAGGTGAACAGCACCACGGTGTGTTCAGAGACATTAGGACTCAGCATCTTCTCCAGAGTCTTCAGACCTTTCTGTTCCTGTTCAGTGAATCTTCCGAGCTGGATGGTGAGGAGGAAGACGTGAGGACCTGGAGAGCTCAGCTTTAGTGCTTCTTCCAGCTGTGCCTTCACCTGCTCCTCAGACAGCTGAGAGCTGAAGAGTCCGGGGGTGTCGACCACAGAGACTCTGCGACCCTGAACATCACCTTCTCTCTTCTCACAGCTCAGCGTCAGAGGTGAGGAACTGATCTTACAGTCGAACTCCTTCTTTTCCAGGATGGTGTTTCCTGCTGAGCTCTTCCCCACTCTCTCCTGCCCCACCAGCACCACCCTCAGGTCAGAGCTACACCCTGAAAACAACACAGGTGATTAGACATGTCAGTGTGAGATACCACCTGACCACCAGGAGTCAGAGCACTGTACTTTCAACACATCAACAGTCATTCATCCATAATGTTCCAGCCTGTTACTTAAATAACTGTGGTGATCAATAATGACCCAGAGTCAGATTTTCATCTGAAACATTTATGTTTATTAAAGTGTTAGAAGACAGATGAATCACATGGGGATATATGAACCAGCACCTCACTTCATTCTTCACATCACCTGATCTAACCTATAATAACCTAACTTTATTAAAACATTTGTTTCCTCTTTTTGATTAATGCATAATTCAATAAAACAAGTGCAGAGTGTCTGGAGTCTGTTACAGCTTCTATTACACAGTATGACATGTAGATTGTTTTACATCAAAGAGTTAGAAAGTGTCCCATTAATGACATGATGAATAATCAATAATGATTAATGAAGATACTCATGATCTATGAAAAGCAGAAAAAATAAACGTGATCAAATAAAAGATTAAACTGTTACCATGACGATTCCCTGTTATGAGCTGCAGCTAATAGATCATTAATATTGAATATCACTGTATGATGCAGGCCTTCTTCACTACCACAGCTGCAGCTCCTGCTACAGCTCCCACTGCAGCTCCCACTGCAGCTCCAACATCAGCTCCAACAGCAGCTCCAGCAGCAGCTCCAGTACCAGCGCCCATTAGAACCGCCTTAAGAAACGAATTGTCTTCCTCTGCCTGTCTTCTTGTTTTTGCGCAAGCAATATCTGGATTTTCTCTCTTCAGATGTTCCATTTCTTCTCTTATGGCTCTCTCAGCTGCTTGGAACATTTCATTGGTGTAGCAGCTTCCTCCATTTATCTGAACAATAATGTTGATCTTTGTCACCAGCTCAGTAACTTGATGGAGATCCTTGTCTCTGTTGTTGAACACATGGTAACCTCCATCACACTGTCTGATGATCTCACGGAGAGGCTGATTCTGACTAATGAATGTCTCTATGGAGACTCCCGCCTCCTTCAGGTCGTCTCCATGGGTGAACAAGGCCATAGTGTAGTTTCTTAACTTTTCTCCAAACATCTCCTGAAGGATTTTCACTGTTTCTTGTTCTTCTTTTGTGAATCTGTTCAGCTGGATCACGATCAGGATCACATGAGGACCAGGAGCAGCAAGTGAGATGGCTTTAGCGATCTCTCTGCTCACCTCCTTGTTAGATTTCCTTGTGTCAAACAGACCTGGAGTATCAACAACAGCCAGTCTTCGACCAGCAACATTTCCTGTTTCCTTCTGACACGTTGTTGTCAGTGAGGACGGAGACAGCTGAGATTTAAAAGCCCTCCTCCCTAAGATGGTGTTTCCTGCTGCGCTCTTCCCGACTCCAGTTTTCCCAACAAGTACAATCCTAAAGTCTGATGGTTCCTTTGCCTCTGTTGGAGAATTTCAAAAGACATTACTGATGTTGTAAAGGACAAACTTTAATTCACAATTATCCCACTGTGTCTCTGTCGGCATCACTCTCATAAAACCCTGAAACAACCAGGTGTTACCTTCAAGGCCCAAACTGAGCGACAGAGCAGATGAACAGTCACAGCCACAGTAACGTGCTGCTGGGACGTACCAGCAGAAATATAAGAATTAATATTAAAGACACACATTATGTGTCTGTATGTCAGGTGTAAACCACACAATGAAAATGTTGTGTAAATGAAATGATGTTTTCAGCAGGTGGCGCTGTGAACATGACATCATAGTAACAGATGTCTTCAGTGTGTGACTGTCATCAAACATGTGAGGTTTGAGGCTGTATATCATAATTACAGCAACTTCCTGTTTCACCAGAGCCACGCCGTTTGACGTTCCACAAAGAAACATCATGAAGATGAAGGTGTTCAGAATTATCTGATCAAGTCTGGGACAGATAGAACAAGGTGTAATAGAGTTTTAATAACTTCCTGTTGCAAAATTCACCAGAGCCACGCCCTTAAATGAAAACTCATGATTTTCACAATTAATCATTATCAAGGTCTGAAGTATTTTCTGACCAAGTTTGAAGTGGCTCCTCTGGGTCTGACACTGTAAGTCAATAGATCTACAGTATCACTGCTCATCGTTAGGGCACGAGTGGATCTGACTAATTACATGTGTGAATTCCATTAAATCAACATGTTGTTCAGATTCTTTTGTCTTTCAGCTGCAGCCCCATCAGTGAGAATCAAACCAGCAAATGAAAAATATAAAAACATAATTCAAATGAACCGCTGTTGTGACCCTGAAACTCTGATTTAACTCTGAAGCAGATGATTTTAATCATGAGACGTCTGGATCTGAAGTTATCGGAGAATCAAGCTGAGGAAATGTTCGACAGCTCAGCTCCACCTGTCCTGAGTCTGCAGTCACCTGTCTCTGCTCTGTAGTCATCACTGTGGTCTGGCGCAGGGTCCCGCCCACAGCACCATCTGATTGGTTAACATCACGAGAAACAGCCTATCACGCTAAAGGCCGCCCTGAACACAGACGGTCACAGACTGGAGCCGGAGCTGAGTGTCGGAGGTGAAACAGTAGACATCCCTGAGGCTGTAATAAACATCTCAATCCTCTACAGTGAAGTTACAGCAACACCACACTCTGATGAACAAGTTCACCTGTTGATTATATAGCAGGGTTTTCCCCTCGCGCCGAACGGCCGGACATTAAAGCATTTCCATCCGGCTACTCTTTCCCTCCTGACGTCATGTGTCTGTCGGAGAAACGTGGATTTCTAACGTGAAACTACGTTATTGTGTTTTTACTGTTTTGATCAGGTCCGATCTCTGCGGAGCAGTTTTTACAACGACCCCAACTCTACATCCGGTCTGTGTGTGTGTGTGTGTGTCAGCGCCAACACACGCACACACACACACACAGTCACACAAAGAGTTTTTCTAAATAATAATAAGATTCATAAATGAATTTACCAAGCTGAAGATATGCCATATCTGTCTTTTACAGGCGGAGGATGTTTCGAGTCTTGTTGCTGCTGAAGTTCAGTTGGTGAATAAGTTCAGTTTCATTTCTTCTCTTTTATAGTCTGTTTCCTCCCTCCCACACACACACACACAGACACACACACACTCACACATCTCCACATACAGATTCAGAATCGGAGTCACCTACGTGTGGTTGTTTATAGGACGAACATGAGCATAATGAAACGAGCCATAAACACGGATGTGTACGTGTGTTACATGAGTTTTCAGACATGCAGCTCATTTTAAATACTGTCTCATCAGTTTTCACCAGATTAGCTCTGCAGTGGAATAAATGGGACTCAAAATTGAAAATGTTGAAAATGAAAATGTAGATGAAATAGTTAAAATATTCCTGTGCAGGATTAAAGGATTTAAAACTGGAGAGTCCACAATTTGATTAAAACCCAAGAAGAAGAAGGGAGTCTTTAAAGTCCAAGTTGAAACCAGGGAAATAAATACATGACGTGTCTGTGCAGCCCTCCTCCCCCTGGAGTCACGTCCTCTGTGCTTTACAGCAAACAGCTTTTCCTCCACTGTAAATATAAATCCTTCACTCACAACAAGTGGATGTCAGATCATGTGCACTGAAACATTTGTGGCACGTTACTGTGGTGATCTCTGTTTAAATGACCTGTATCAGACTGAGGACACATCAGACGATGACAGATCAATAATCACCTCATGTTTCTCACAGATGGAACATTTCTGCTGTAAATCATTTAGTAGATTCTGTGAACCCGACCCTTCCTCTCCAGGTCGAGGTATTGATTTACTATATTACTATGGTCCGCTAATCAGTCTAGCTTGATATGAAAAAATAAAACTAAGGGTCATGCCTCTCATGAACTTAGAGACATTTAACTCAGAGCCATTGAGTTTCAGTGTTGCCTCAATCAGACCTGAGTGGTTTCATATTTATATTACTCACCTGTGTTGGCTGCTGCAACCCACTCCTCACCTGCACTCTGGGCTGGCCGCCCACAGAGACACTTGTGTTAGCTGATGCTAACAACAAGCTGCTCTCTCAAAGTTGACAATGAAAACCTCCAGAGCAAATGGACTGAAAAGTATGTATTTACTTTTCCAGCTGCAATGAGCAGTAAACCTGTGTGTTCATTGTGCAGCGAATCCATTGCTGTGATGAAAGAGTACAATGTGAAGAGACACTACAAGTTGAATCATGGCTCATTTTCTGGCAGTTTTCCCGAGGGCTCGGAGGAACGGAGGAGGAAAGTAAACGGACTGTTAGCATCTTTTCAACTAAGTCAGTGTTCCCTTGGTCGCTTTTGCCCAGAACAAGAAAGAGCCATGAGAGCATCTCTGTGTGTAGCATGGACACTAACCAGACAGAAGAGGCCCTTTACAGAGTCGGAGACTGTTAAAGATTGCATGCTAATGTTAGCCTGGTGGAGACTCTGAATCATCATCCCTCTGACGAGACGCACCTGTACAGGTGTTTGTAACTCTCAGCTGCTAACCTGTCGCAGCTTAGAGACAGAGTGTTTGGAGCAGCTTCAGCTCAGCAGTGATTTCTGTTTAAAAACAAACAATTAACAATTAAACTTTCCAACTTCCTCTCCTCCCTCTGCTCGCGCTCAGCGGGGAATTACATCACGTTAAAAGTTTCTCTTTTAGTCGTGGGGTCTGTGGGGAGGAGGGTCTCTGCCACGGCTCTGTGGAGCTCAGCGGGTTCAGAGCAGAGAGGTTGGAGGTTTAAATACCACTTGGAGCTGGTTCAGATGAATGATAATAATCAACAGGAAGTAGGAGCTGACAGGAACACGACACAGAGACTGTGTTCATCACACATTTCCCTGTTCTCCCCTGTATGTGTGGGCGTGTGGGCGTGTGTGTGGGCGTGGCCTCTTTCACCTGGCTCGACTCCACACCTGTGGTTGATCATCTCATCAAGCTCCCAGTTTAAAAGTGTTTACCCTGTCTTCTCACCTTTAGTTTCCTGTGACCACAACACCTGACCCCCCGCCCCACCTGCTTTATATCACACCTCACCTCCTCTGTGTCTGTTCTCCAACAGAAACTAAAACCACCTCAGTTCAGACTCAAAGTGTTGTGGTGAGCAGGAGCCTGAATCATGACGGTCAGAGCAGTGACCTCAGTGAGCGGCGTTAACCCTGTGGGCGCCGTCCTCGTTGTTAACCTGATGAAACCCTCTGCTGTCATGACGTGAGGATGTGTGGACGTGTCATCTTTATCTTCAGGTGTTGTCCCTGTTTGCTTCAGTCTCTGACTTTAGAAAGTAAAACCAGGAACCATTAGAACGAGGCAGATGATTGGACGATGACGATGCTCTACTTAAACTCAGACGTCCCACTTCATGCTTTTAATTTGCTGCAACACCAAAACTTCATTTATCAACGCTCCAAGGTTTCACATCGATCAGCTGATCCACTTCTCCCAGGCAAAGAGGTCAGGACACATTTCAGTGAGAGGGTCAGGCAGGAAGTGTCCCGCAGGTCACCTGAACAGGTGTGACCAACAGTCTCAGGCTGTGAACACAAACATGTTGAGGTTTAAAATCAGTTCCAGCTGCAGTCTGAACAGCTGACAGGAAACATTAACATATTAAAAATGAGAGGAGGAAATGAAGGAGTTCACACCTCCATGAAGAAAACAGATGTTGGTTATAAAATAGCTCCAGAAATCAACTCAATGTAACATGTAGATATAAAATAAAAGCACATATATTAATATTATATATGAAACCTTCTAGAAAATTTAACAATTTCATATATTGACACTTGTCTTGCACAAATGTTTATGTTTATATAATGTATATTATATTGTAGACAGATGATAGTAAATATGTCAGTATGTGTTTGTCATAAACAGAAGAGTAAAGAGTCTGAGACTGTTTAAATCAATAAGAAGTAAATAGAATTGTTATATGTATATTGTTTTAATAAACATCGTAATAAGTATCGTTAACGTATATGGTCAACATGTTATATAAATATAATACCCCCCCCCATGTATTTATCATGTTTGAGCAGTAAACTCTCTGCTGCTCTCTGAACTGAATATGACTCATGAATCTGTTTTTTGAATCCTTGCTGGGAGACATGAAGCCAGTCAATGAATTTGATCTGATTGATTGATCATGACAAGCCAATTACCACCTCTCTGACCCAGGGGCCCCATGTCAGTCATGTCAGTGGATGGATTGATTGGACAGTCATTACACTGCTACAGTAACATACGACGTCTCCAGCACTATATATGTATATATATACGTCCATATACAGTCACGGCCAAAAATATTGGCACCCCTGCCCTGAGAATTGCAGGGGTGCCAATATTTTTGGCCGTGACTGTATATGGATGTATATATATACACGCACACACATATATACTGTGTGTGTGTGTGTGTGTGTGTGTGTGTGTGTGTATGTATGTGTGTGTATGTGTGTGTGAGAGGGGCAGAGATGGACAAATGATGTGTGTTTAAATCCTGCCATTATAATCCCATTAGATCACCTCCACAGACTGTTATTAAGGGAGTCAGGGCTACTCATACAGAGAGGAGGAGGGAGGAGAACACACCACCACCTGAGTTTAGCTGAAACTAAATCTAATGCTGGGGATAATGATATTTAATATTCTGTCTCCAGTGTTTCTCACCGTTCTTTGTTCTGTGGTTTTTCTCTTTGAACCAGGAGATCCAGTGGAGCCTGAGGCCCCCCAGACCCCCCAGGGGCCCCGGAGCCCCCAGACCCCCCAGGGGCCCCAGATGATCAACAGCAGCCTGCTGGAGACCAGAATCCAACACCTGAGAGAGTGAGTGTGAGTTTGCAGAGCTGGTCCTCTGCAGTGGGTCTTAGGATGAGTCCAGGACTGTGGACAGATCGTTTAAACCAGGACTCTTCATATCCCACAACAACAGCCTGGAAACAGAGAGGTTTTATATCCACAGATGAGTGGCTTTGAAGCTCAGAGTGAGCTGCTCTGTCGTCACCATCTTGACAGTACCTGACTCCGCCCCTAACTCGTAGCTAATGCAAAAATGGTCAGAGAGGAGGGGCGTGTGTCGAGCTGAGACTTCGGTGCATGTGCCTGTCACTCAAAGAGGCCACGCCCTCAATCCTCCATAACTGTAGGCCTTAATAAAATGTAAACAGGTGAGTTATATAAACAGGTGTCATGAAGGAGGAAATTAACTCTAGAGACCAAAACAGTTTTTGTACCAGGCTGTAAACATGTTTATTTCTGCTGTAAAGTTGGACATTTTAACATGGGAGTCTATGGAGACTGACTCACTGTTGGAGCCAGACTCTAGTGGTCATTAGAGGAACTGCAGGTTGTTGGCTTCATGTTTCAGCCTCTGAGACTCAAACCCACTGTGGCTCATATGAAAGGAGTCACTTGTACGTTTAGCTATTAGTTTAGCTATAGCTAACGTTAGCATTAGCAGGTGTTTACTCACCAGTCTAGAGGTACTTCATCCCTTCACTCACCAACATCTGTCACCAAGGTTGCCTCTCATCTACGTCATGTCTCTTCTACTGAAGACCGTTAGCATGCTAACCAGTAGCGACGTCAGCGCTCACTTGTCCAGAGTTCATTCATGTATCTCACAGTCATGTCCAATCACACCCGCAGGACGTCTGTCCGTCTGTCTCAGTGAACAGAGGAACGTCAATGTTACTCTCAGGATCCGACCTCGTTGTGAAGCTACAGGCGACGACTGAGCGACGGTTCCTGGTGTATAAACTGTAAATTCAGATGGATAGACACAGTCACTGACAGACAACAACAACGTGAACAGATTATATTTGTGTCTGTTAACAACACCTGAGGAATTAACACGATGCATCAAACTCACTCTGCTGCTGTCAGAGGTCTGATTTATTCTTAGTAACTGAACCAAGTTTCCCTCCAGATGTTTCTGCTCAGTCTTTGACGTAGTTGAGTTTATTGTGAATCTGCTGTTTACACCTGCGGGGACACCTGCATGTTGCTCTGAGGACACGTCTCCACACGTTTTAATGAAATATATATTATAATCAGATGGAAGCTGCATTGTTGTCATGATATTTATAGTGTTCCTGTTTACTGATATTTACACA